TAGTGTCAACACCAGATTTTTTTTTTTTTTTTTTTTTTTTTTTTTTTTATGATGCTTCGAGAATTTATGACAAATTATCTTCTGAAAAGCTGGGATAATCTTACTCAATCTCTTCATTTCATATACTGTGGAGACACTTTTCGATTGTTTTGCTATTATTATGATGATACCTTCTCGTAATGAGCGTGATAACTGCTGCCTTGTAGTAAGTGATTTTTGAGCGTAACCAAAGTCTTCAGAGCAGAAATCCAGAATGGTACCACAAAGAAACAGTAAACTTAGGTCTCAGCAACTAGTGTGTGGAGCTGATTCTTGAATCTGAGTTTTAATTAGTCTCTGAGTTTAGGCAATCCTTTATTTTCCAATTAAAATTACCAATAAGGATTCTGTTATCTTATATTAGAAAAGGTGAAAGAGAAAATATTAGAGCAGTGAACACTGATCAAATATTAGCTCATCGATGTTCACGTTTACAGAGTGTTATATGTTGTTATACGCTTTTTTTACTTCCTTCTACGAAGTAAAAAGGAAGTGTAGTAATCACAAAAAATTTCGGGTATCATATTTCAACGAAAATATCGATTTTGACCGCTATCCAATGCAATTTAATGACGTTTTTGCGTGATATCCGCTAGTAAGGACAGAATAAAGGACTCTTTTCCCCCAAAAAAATTATAAAACTGATTTAAAATGAATTCTGAAGATAATTTCTCGTGGCGTCTGTGCATACGTACGTATCTCGCATAACTCAAAAACGAGTAGCTTCAGGACGTTGAAATTTTGTTATGTATATGTTTGTAAATTGTGCATTTTTTGCTTTAAAAAATGATTGAATTATGTTGTTCTTATCCTCTGGTTAAGGTTGTTATGCCTTTAGTAAATTTGTATGCAATATTTGTGGAGTTATCAATAATTTAAAAGTTGTTTAAGTGCAGCTAAGCCTAATGAAGTTTGCAATGGCGGACATGTTTGTTTACATTTCAAACTTGGCAAAATAGCGGATTTGTTGCCAAGGTAGAGAAACTAAGCTGTGCAACAACAAAGATAACGCCTTCTTTTATTATTGCAAATTAAATCATGCTTAATCCGTTCTCGAATTTATTCGAGGATGTAAGTGTTTTAGATTTACTTCGTAATTTTTAATATATATATATTTTGAGTTTTTATGTGTTTTTGCCTTGTCGGGAAGTCAGAACTGAATTAATTGAATGAGAAATACTGAATCGTCTGTGAAAAACTGTTTCTTTTTTGTTTTGTTTGCTTAATTTCTTTTATACATCGTTTTAGATTTATTATAGTATTTGAATAGAACATATGGCAACGATTAGTTAATTCTTAAAATTATATAAATTTATATGCATTCTAAGTTATAATATGGACGAAATGTAACGCTGTTTTGTGAACATAGCACCAGAGTAACTGTATGGTAAAGAAATATAGTGAATTTTAAAATGTGCTCTTATTCTATTGTGGTTTATGCACTATCGACGAATAGATTTAATTCAATCCAATACATTTAAATGAAATGCAAGAAAAAATGCGTATAATTTAATATTTCGTGCAAGGAAGTCCTGTGTTGATCATCAGATTTTTATATTGGTTATACTATTCCTATTTGGGGTGTAAGTGTATGCGAATATCCGTGTCGGTTACTTTAGACTAAAGATACTTTTTACATCATATAAATGGATTAGATTGGATTATTCAATTACGGCAAAGCACACGAGGGCTATCTGCCTAAAGGGAGGGATGCCTTCGTGGAGGACTTTCTAAGGGAAACTGGCTCGTATACACGTTACACATGAGATAAACCACGAAAACGCCCATGCAGCCAGCCCGTTCGCGGGATTCGAACCTCAGACCGAACTACTAGTGTTCAGCGTCTTTACTGCTCGGCCGCTGGTGGGCCATCATATAAATGAGACGGCTCGCTTGAAACTCAGGGACAAGAAGTTTCTTTAAAGGCGTAAACATTTTATTTCAATTATTTGCAACAAACCGCTTCATTACAAACTCATTTCTATTTTTAAAATCTTTAAACTATTGTTCTAGTCATAGTCTGGCGATAAACTGAGGTAACAAAGTATCTATATAGAGGTAACAAAGTACTTGATCTAACAAAGTATTAACTGAGGTAATTTACTTAACCATAAGCGGCGCAACATTCTCCCCACTTGAGTTTTAGAACCTTTGAGAGAAAACAAAATATAAACATTAAATATAAACTTTCTAAAATACATGCAATATTCAAAACATAAAATATCTACTTCAAGTTAATGTTCACATTATTATATTTGCATAAAATTTCCTATTTGTCTAGAACCTTGTTTTAAGTGTTGCACAGCTTCTGTGTAATTCTTTGGAGAGGCCAGATAAAAGAATTTTCCACATCTTGAATAAGATAAAATTTTCTCACTCCTGAACCGAAAGGAAATTATTACAAGGTTCAATCGTTCCAACTTCTCAATTTATCTTAAATGTTTCTAAAACCTAGAACAGTCAATTAGTCTGCCATCGAATTGATGGAATAAAATTTCTCAAAAACAGAAATCTAAAATTTGGCAATAGTCATCATTTGTAAGTTTAAATTCTACTCCTTCGTAAAAGTCCCAATACTTTTGTATTTTCGGCGACAAAGATGTTTTCCTTTCTGACATTACAGGGAAAAAAGTGAATTACTTTGCAATAACTTGCAGCTACACTATATTCACTTCTATTGAAATGACTGGAAGAAAATGAATGGTATGCCTTAAAACGATTAGACTTTAAAAAGTGTACTCGCGTGCCATAATTGTTTTTACCAGTGTAGATTAGTCTTTCCCAGAATCCTCCCCACCATGGGCCAGATGGTGAGTTGAACTTCCACTTGATTTGACTAACTTCAAATTCTCTTTGAATTTTTTGTGCAATCAAGCTATTTTAATGAGGAGTTATTCTTGGTTTAGTTTGATTTAGCTGCACTATTACATTACTATCAGAATATTCATCTTAAGTTTCTTTAGATAAGTTTCTTCAGTATCCGTAGAAAAATGTACTCGGTCTTCTGATTAGCAGGTTCCATTTGTAAAACTTTATTTTCACTGCCACTTTTAAAATTCTTATCTTTTACTTCTTCCTCACTTCTTTCAATCTTCTCTGATTCTTCGTTGAATGATGCAGAATCCAGAGCATTTATTCCCAGCTTTCTTTCATGTAGGGTTTAACATTCTGAGAAATTGTTTTCTTCCTTCTGAAAAATAATATCTAAATTTTTCTTCTGAAACTGGTTGACCATTATGATCACTGTCAGCACATTCATGAATCTCATTTTTATCAATTGACGAAATAATTCCTAGCATCTCAGATCAAATATATTCTAGGCAATGGTGATATTCTTTGATTTCTTTCAACATGTCCTTAACACGATAGCGAGATCTCGCAGAACTATACATTTCTTCTAAACACGCCTTTGCAGTAGATTCTGTTTTCAAATTTTCTCTTTGCTAAACACTTTTAGGCAAATTGGATGATATAACACTTGCAGTTTTCTTTTCTGTATTTCTATTAGCTAGAAGTTGATTCATTCTTGACTTCATCTGATTCACGTAATTTTTTTGCTTTCTAATTTCATGGTCATATGCAAATTTTTTGCTGCTGCATTTGGCCCACCAGCTTCCTTACTTCATTTTTCTCATACTTCAACTGTTGCAAAAGTTGATCATTTCTTTCTTTTAATTGACTCCCCTTTCTAATGCAGAATTGTACTTTTATCTAAACTATTTTTAAGCTGAGAGTTTTTCTTGGAAAGTGCTTTGATAACAGCAGATAAGTAATGATTTCTGTTCTCAAGAACTTCTTTGGTCTGTACGTGTTCAGTAAACTAATATGTGAGAGTGGATTAATATTTTTTATGGTTTCATGTGTTTTTTTTAAATAATTGCATTTATCTAACATTGCAATACTGTTTGGAATAAGCAGTTTTTTACCCTAAAAAAGTAGCTCTAAATTATATCATTGTAAGAAAAAAACTAAATAATACAATTAGTGTATTCTTTATCCGATATTCTGATATAAATACATTTCGATTGCACGAACCTAATTATTTTTATACTATGACTCCAGAAAAAATATATTTACATAAAAATTTCCTGCAGGAACTTAACTAAAGCTACTGGTATTGTAGTTGTCCAGACATCTTTCTTTTCTAAGCAAAGGTAATGGTTTATTTTAGAATTTCGGACATATTAAGCTAGTAGAAAAACGTACTCGAACTTCTGTCTTTATCTGGAAATTTATCAACTCAACTTATTGAAAGAAACTATAGAAAAAACATCAAACATTTTTACATCTTTCTGATCAATGATAAAGAGGAAAAAAGAGAAACAGTCCAAAGAATAACAGTTTTACAGGAATAAAACTGGAAATAGTAAAGCTGCTTTACAATTTATTATCAGACAGCTTAATATCAATCATTAAAATTAAGCAATATCTATTCAATTACATTTTTATTGTATATTAACTTTCTGTTCTCTACTTTTCAGAATTCATACATAATCGTATTCGCAATGATATGAATATCCCCAAATTACTGTTTTCAAAATAACTTATAAATAGTATAAATTATATAACAAACTTATAAAACTTTCCAACAGCAATCGAGTGGTTAAGACCGCTGAATGCAGACAGTTTGATCCGGGCTCGAGCTGCTCTATACGAGAGCTATATGGGTGAATTCCGTTACATCGACTATTCAAACTACGTGCGTGTCTTCAGGGTTTTCACCGAGTCTGATATAAATACAAGCTGATTTCCATTAAAATTTACTCCATGAAGGCATCCATTTTCTTAGGCTAATAGATCTAATGCGCTTTCCTGTGTTCTAATGGCAACAGCTTTATAATATATATGGGTTCCTTTAGATTTCATATACATTAATATGTATTCATAAGTTTATGATTTTAATAATAATAAACTTAAATGTCTTTATTTATTATTTTATATCTCTTCTCCATTTCTTCTAGATGACAAGCATACGAGTGAGCGAGACAGCTGAACTGAATAGGCAATATTCATAAATTTCGTATTGTATAGGAAATACGAAAATCACAGAGATTCCCATGCAGTCGAGATTTGAACCTGTGAAAGACTTGGGTAACCAAATTATGTGAGTTTATAATTATATCATAAAAATTCGAAAAATGTTTAAAAAATTATTTTTATAATTTTTTTTTAATATTAAAGTTGAAATTTAACGTTTCTCCAGTTTTAAAGTGTATAACTGTTAAAAGAAGTTTTCAAAAATTGCTGAAATCCATACACTTTTTAGGGTCTACTTGTCGAACTTCTAAGTGAGAATCGTGCGTGTAGTAAGTTCTGGTAAGAACTACACAGAAAAAGGGTTAAAAGTACTATTTATTAAACTCTTTAAAATTTACAATGCGTCAACTCGATGCTAACACATTACGCTTCCCTTGCGCGTTAACTGAAATCGCAGAACTAAACTAAAAATTCGAAGATATTCACAAGTAGTAGAAAATTAAACTACAGGGCTCAGATATTCCTGTTTCTTAAATCCGCGTCGAAATTAGTGGCAGCAAAGTAAATGCGGTTAAGCCACGTAAACCAGAAATACTCCGGGAGGCATATAAGCATTTTTGTACAGCTCCATGCGCACAGAGGAAATTCCGTACTTGTGATTCGACATATTTTCCTATGACATCATTTTCTTTTCGCGTAATGACGTTTAGCGAGATTTTTTACAGTCTTGTTTTCGGCCACCAGCGGCCGAGCGGTAAAGTCGCTGAACAGTGGTAGTTCGATCCGAGGTTCAAATCCCGCGAACGGGCTGGCTGCATGGGGTGTTTTTCGTGGTTTTCCCCATGTGGAACGTGTATACGAGCCAGTTTCCCTTAGAAAGTCCTCCACGAAGGCATCCCTCCCCATAAGCAGATAGCAATAGTGTGCTTTGACGTAATCAAATACACCACACCACAGTCTTGTTTTCGTTGAAGGACGCGCATGATTGATACGGAAGCGTGAACTTATCATTTATATTCTTTGAATAATTATGCCAGACTCAAAAATTGACATGCAGCCTTCTGCAGATGGCATCCTATTTATGCAAAAATAAAATTATAAAATCCTTCAAAGACGCTGTTAATATCAAGTGCAATCTTAAATGCTTAGATTATATAAGTAACTGAGTTCATAAATTTAGGAAAAAAAACAAAACACATTAGGTTACACGACGATCTCGACTCAAATGTAAAGGCATATATGCCAGTAAGTATATTATTATTGAAATTTTGTTCCAATCTGTTCATTTCACATTGCAAAAAATATTTTCTTTGCAACTGTATATGTTATTTCCATGTCAATGTCCATGTCTTTCACACTTTATTCTGTTGCCTTCAATGAAGGAAAAATATGCATTCAGTATATTCGCTGAATACGCGTGTATAAGAAAAAAACTTTCCTTTCTGATAAACACTATTTTTATACAAATGTACAAAAGATTTTACGCATTAAAGAATTGGCAATATTCAATATTCATAAAGTACATATTCATGAGAAATATTCAATTTATGCATACGTACCTTTGTTTCTGTATTCCAAATCTATAATAGTCTAACTTCAAAAATAAATTTTACTTTTTCAGACAGACTACAAATATCGTGAATTTACTGTTAGCTCCGACGTTTTTGTTGTTTGTGAAAACTGACTTGTCTCATGCTTTCGGAGATTGCATCTACAAAGAATCTATATTTAATGAGCATGAAACAATGAATTAATAATTACAAAACCTTTAATATGAAGGCTTTAAAATTAAGAATACATTTATTTAAAACCTCTAAATTTAATAGTGATACATATTTACGGAGTTAGCGCACTAGAAGAAATACTGACTTTCCTCTCTATGAAAAATAAAAGGACTACGTCACCATACAACAGTGCCGTAATAAGAGTAATCTGCAACAAAAATGCAACACACTTCATTAACGATAATAATCCTTTCGGTACTTCTATACTGCTATCAAAATGTAAACAAACGGTGTGGAGGTGTACATTCGAGCCCAAGCAAAGTTAAGGCATTCCTAAGCCTAGAGGAAATGATGTCATCGGAAGCCGTATCCAATCACGAGGATGAATTTTTCGCTATGCACGTAGCGCGGTACAGAATGCTTATATGCCTCTGGGGGTAGAAGCTCGCTCTACTGAGGTGACGGCAATAGCCTAACTCTCTCTAACTTTCCTTCTGAACCTCAGTTTTTTTAATTCTTTCTTTACAAGGTAGAATTTGCATTCCTTCACACGCACTACCAAATTTTAATATTCTGGCATTCCTTCGCGCGCGCTACGAAATTTTATTATTCAATTAGGGGAATGAAGGCTTATAAGGAAATCTTCAAATTAAATAAAATTGGTTATTTAAAATAAATATCTACAACTTTCCTAAATCACTTTCCTGTCATTGTTCTTTCATTGTCTGCAAGAACAATCTGTAAGAAGTAATTTCAGATTGAATCAAATAAATTTTCAAAAATTAGAAGTAAGCTTAGATTGAATAAAGGAAACTTTCAAAAATTAGAAGTTATTTCAGATCGATTAAAAGAAACTTTCAAAAATTAGCGGAAGGCTGTGATTTGAAGTAATTCAAAGAGCTGTTGAGTCTAGTTCCAGTACAGCTGCCAGGCAAAACCTTTAATAAAGCCTAATTTTTTCCTTGATTCTAAGCTCGAAGTTCCAAGTTTCCACTGATTCTGAATTCGAAAAGTACTCTCCAACTGAGGCTATGACTTTCGTATAAACCTCAAATTATTCAAAATCTTGTATGCGACATTGAAAGGTGCTTAAAAAAATAAAGATTTAAAGATTAAGAATATTATCATTTACAACAATGCTTTTCGTTAAATCATAATATTGTATTATGGCAAAAACAACAGCGAGATCTGAAACAATATTTTGCATGTCTTTATAAACGTGTCTGTACAGGTGACAGGTGACGGAGGACGGGGACGCCTGACGTATAACATAGGTAAACAGGCATATGTCCCACGTCCTCCACTATCTCGAAGAAGCAACTCGCTGGAGCCCCGTGAGGCTGCACCAGGAGTTTACATGGCCATACAGGGGCTAGATGTCGGGTAGTTTTTACATAGGACGTTGTTAATAACACAAAGTAACTTAGAAAGAATATAAAGGATAGCATTAAAACACTAAAACACTCATATAAGCTGAAACACATAGATATACAAAATTAAACGTAAAAGCATAAAAACACACTCGTAATTACGTAACATAAAGACATAGAAAACACACACGAAAATACATATCATGACACATAGAATACATATGGAAACACGTAGAGCACATAAATGCAAATATTACACTCAGAGGAAACATATAAGACATAGTAAGGTGTGCGTAAAGCAGTAGTGCTGTGCGGAAATATGCTCAGTTCCCATAATACATAATGTACATACTTTCATTAGGGGCTTCTGTTGCATGAATTACATATTTCGTTGCATACACTACATTCGTGCATTGTACGGATATTATATATTTCGATTTACGATAACACATCATTCCATTGGGTGCCCAGTGCTTCACACTGATAAACATGTCAGTAACATTATATCTGCAAGTTGGTGGCTATTGAAAGCAGATGTTAACACGAGGCTCGAAATTGAATGTGGAATGTGTATTACAGAATGTGTACATACTGCGAATATCTAATAGTTGAGTACATTGTCTGCAGTACCATGCTACTGTGGCTCGCAAATGTCTTGCCCTAGGGCGTTGATTTGCTGTACAACTGCGCAGATGCTCCTTATAGCTGGCGGGTGTTTGATTATGAAACGATAGTAAAGTGTTCTATCATTCGTTGGATGTGGTAAGTGGTGGTTTGTTGTTAGACTGCAGTCAAATAGATAGTGCTCGGGAGAACCTAGCATGCCACAGACACAATTGTCAGATGCTGAGATGCCATGACGCATAAAATAAGATGGAAATGGGCCATGACCCGTTATGTACTGTGTCAGTGGGGCTATTGTTATAAGACGTTCCGTGTCTACCTTTGGTAGGAAGTTATACGTCCTTCTCCCTGTGTCGCCACTATTCCATTCTTCTTGCCACTTTTCTTTACAGATATTACGCAGAGTTTTCTTGAGGTGTGAGACGGGGGTAGGGGCACTTATAGTTTGAGCGTGGATGTTGTTGGCAGCCTCATTAGCCAGTCGGTCTGCGACGTCATTCCCTTCGTTGTCGGAGTGTCCTTTCACCCATACCATGTTAAAGCGGGCTTGATGATTATTGCGTAAAAGTTGCTGTATATCTATGATGATGGGTGAAGTGTGGTGATGATCCCTGAGTGCGTGTAGCACTGACATGCTATCTGTGTAAAAAGTCGCATTGGTAAGGGAAAGGTTGAGGGCATGTCGTAGCGCATTCAATATTGCTAGTGCCTCTGCTTGGAAATACTATTGCTGTTAGTGAGATGTCCTTTCCATTCCTTTACTAGTGTGCCATGTTCGTAGTGAGCAAACGCGCAGCCCACTCCCTGATCATGTTTTGATCCATCAGTGAACAGTTGTGTAATCGCACAGGAAGTGCGTTGTCTGGAGTGCGATGGCTGATGTTGGATTTTGACATGGATCCCTCTACCTTTGATGGCAGGGTGGATGTGTTGCACACTGCCAGGGAGTTCATAGTCTGTTGTTCTGAACGTAATTCCTGCATATGTGGCTTCTTGTCTGTGATGAGTGATTCGTACATAGGTAGCCTCTGCCTCTGCCTTTATGTGTAATGGCAGCAGGCCTGCAAGTATCGTGGCGGCGCTGGACGCTGTTGTGCGATAACCTCCGCAGATGTTTAATGCAAACGGCCGTTGAATTGTGGTCAGTAGCTTGGTCTTTCGGCTGCTCATTGGTTGTGCCCATATGACTGCTGCGTAGAGAATTATTCTCTCTGCCACTGTCAGATATAATAGTTTCCTGATATGGGGGTTTTGTCCCCAATTTCTCCCTTGAAATTGCCTGGCTTTCCTTGCGATGGTCGATGTTTTTGTACGTATTTCTTGGAGGTGCGGTAACCAGGTGAGTCTTTGATCCCAAGTGACTCCTAGATATTTAATCGTCTTCGTTATTTTTAAGTTCTTGCCCAGT